GCCGCAGGCCAGATCAAATCAATTGGTGGGCACCCTCTGCAGGCTGGATTTGGCCCGCAAGCCATATTTTGCCTATCCCTGTTTTAGATGCATGCCTGCTGCACTTTTTATTTCCTTCTGAGCCATCTCCAGAGAAACCGCCAGAAAGCAGTGGTGTAACTAGAGGGGGACAACCTGCCCTGGTGCCAACTTTGGGAACAGGCAGTGGCGGAAAAAAGCAGCTACTGGCAGCCATGTGTTCACAATTGTGATTTATAGCAGCAAACAGAAGCCACTTTTGCTTTGCCCAAGGTCCCCGGCTGCATCCCTACACTGCTGAAGTTATCGTGTTATTTTGAAGAAATTAGACATGAGGTTTATATAGGAAATGTGAAGTATTTATTATCCTCTAAAACATGTCTGATAGGTGTGGAACAGAGAAATGCTTCCTTGCCATCTGATAACCTCAGTAGGAGCGCGGGGAACACTCTTAGTTCGTTGGTAAAACTGCCCCACAGAGCTTCCTTTCATTGATCTGACTAGCATTCCTTGCTTCTATGGTAGCGCTCTCCAGCCCACCTGTACGGTCTGCTGGAGGGGTAGATACAACAAGCCATAATTCTTGTGTGACATTCCTAATCTCTTCCTCAATCTTATTGCTCATAACCCATCTTTTATCTTCCATAGCTTACTCCTTCCCCAAAAAGGACGGATATGCTTGATCTCTTTTTCTAAAGTGGGGTGGTTTCTTTTACCTCTAAAGGAGGCAAATTGGCATTTAATTCACTTCCTTTCCATACAGACAGGTATGCATGCTGGATTAATTCCATGATAACTTGTAAAATTGCCCTGCTTTCCCTCTTTACCCTCTCTCCCTTATCTAGCTCATTTGGGATATAGGTAGGGAAAATGTGCTGTCTTGCACATACTTCAGCTGTCTGTTTTCTAGAGCTGCAGGCTACTTTTTCATCTATTATATTTTAGGCATCAGCAAGATACAGGTCACTACTGCCCAGGAGTAAGTTGTATGTCTTCAGCACATGTTTTTCCTGCTGCTGCTGCTCCTTACTGTGTCCAGTGAAGTCAGTGATACAAGCCACACTTAAAATAAGTAACTGGAACAGGAAGTGCTCTCAGTAGATTTGATCATCACAGCAGTTGTCCTTAAAACATTCACATCTCCTGTTTAGGACTTGCAAGAGGAATCATTCTATACAGAAAATTTTAGTAGAGTATTTGGCCCAATTTGGAAGGGACGGAGAATGTTCTGTATGAGGAATAAGCTACTTTTTGAGTTTTGGTCACCTGCATCCTAAATTTTCCCATTTATTTCCACCAAAAATTAAGGAGTCGCATTTGTGTGCTGCAGAGACATAAAAGAAAATGTTCTGTAATACCATTTCTTTAATGATTTCTCTTTTAATGCCATAATTGGGAAAATCTATAGAGTTGGTATATTGGCAAGCAGATTGGTATAAAACTTCTTTCTGAAACTGTATTAAAAGTACAACACTTCCTAGAACTGGTGTTAGTCATCTTAGAAAGCAGTACTTTGAGACTTCAGAAGAGTTCATTCCTTTTTATGTTCCATCCTATGCATATGTTAAAGAGTTTCGAGAGTTAGGACACAACTTGTCAGGAAACAAACTTTCAGAAGATTTTTGGGGTCAAGTTTTATATTGTTGGAGAATAAAAAAAGAGCTAAAATACTCCTTGAAGTCTTGAAAAATTAAACTTGAAGAAATAACATCCAGATCAAGTGGAGATACAATGGTGTCCCCCAGTTTTTCAGACATTAGCAAAGAGATCTGGTTTGTCATGCCCAGGGATCCTGGTTTTCCCTGATAAAAAAAATTGCAAATTCTCTGATTTAAAAACCCCCAAATCTGTGATTAAAATGGAAGGCCACCCACAGCCCCTACCCCCTCAGCTCTGCCAGAGGGGGGCCTCCCCATCTGCCAGGGCTATGGGGTCAGGCACCCAGGTCTGCAGCCCCCTGCCCCCAACAGAAGGCAGCAGCTACTGCAGTGGAGCATAGCATAGCCCAGCTAGGGACTGCCTGCTGGGGCCTTGGCCAGAGATAGGGCCAGCTCCCTGCCACTGCATGCATTCTCAGGGGTCAGGGTGGACCTGCACACCCCAGATCTGTGCACGGGGCAGGTGCCCCCTGTGAGCTCAGGCTCCCACCCGGCTGCCTTCCCTCTGGGCCTCTGCAGCCTGGTGGGCACACCCTGGTGCTGCAGGGAACAGTGGAGCCACACAGGAAAGCTTCTTGCTGCTGAGAGCTCTGCGCTGCCCTGGCGATGTGTCTCCTGTGCACAGGGGGGCAGTGGGGATAGCAGCACAGGGTTGTGTCCCACGCACACAGGGGGCATGTTGCCAGGGTGGTGCAGAGCTTACAGCAGCAAGCAGCTTTCCTGCACAGTGTTGCTGTTACCTGCAGTGTCAGGTTGCATATGCTGAGCTGTGGAGGCCCCAGGGTAGGGCAGTATGGCAGGAGCCCAAGCCCACAGCAGGCATCCTGCCTTGCCCCCACCCCGCGCACAGATCTGGCGGGTGCAGCTCCTCCCCTGCACTCCAGGAGCGCATGTAGTAGTTGGGAGCTGGCCCCGCCCCCTGGACAAGCCACCTGCAGCCCCATCCTGCTCTCCCCCAGGACCCTGCAGATGCACATTGTGGCCCCAAGCCCCATACACTGCCTGGCTGGGCAGCAGCCTCAGCCCAGCCTGGCCCAGCCCAACTCCCCCACTATGAGGGCCTCAATTCCCCCCCGCCTCCCCACACTTACCCATGAGAGTTGCTCTCCTCTGGCTGCCTGGGGCTATGTACAGTATGTGCACATGGCATTCCCTGTCTGACCAGCCCCTTGCTGGCTGGGACTCTGCTAGTCTACAGAGGCCTTGTTGCAAAGCTGCAAAATCCATAGGTTTCTCTGCTAAAATGAGAAATCCACGCTTTGCTCGGTAAGGAGAGAAATCCACGTTTTACTCCTACATTCAGTGGGAAACGGAAAACCCGGATCCCTCGTCATGCCAATCCATATTATATAATTGGATGAATGAGGGATTTATCGGCCCAGGGTGCTAATCCAAGAATGGCCGTTCTTTGTCGTGAAACATGCTGGTTAATTTCCAGCACTGTTTTCAAGTTTTGACTTTCTGGTGAAGGACCCACTTTATGTACTAACAGCAGCAAGTGGCCCTCTTCTAGTCTGCCCTCTGCTACTGCAAAATCCATGTTCCAGTTTGGTTGTGTACAAGTATAAGTTTTGCCACTCTGCTTTTGTGGACTTGTTTGAGTTAGAAGGGGTTGTAGCATTCATAGACATTCGGAACTGGGACTGCACAGCCGAACTCTGTAGCAGTTGTTTGACTGGCTGGGAACCTTTGGAACTTATAATAATGGCATTGGTTTATCTGCGTTCATACGAACTGGAGACTTGGCGGCTATTCCTGGCATCACGAGTACATTTTTTTCCCCCAAGCAGAAATAAAACTAAATGGGGGCAAGGGGATGTGTTCCCCAAGCCACAGAGATCAGGAGTTGAATATGTTCGTTTCCTTTCAATTTTCCTCTAGCTGGGGTTTACCAGAGAAAAGGGGTTGGAATCCTATCAAGACTGGTGTTTTTATGAGGTTCGTTGGTTTTCTTACAGCAGTGGGTCTCGACCAAGGTGTCCCAGCACCTTGGGGTGGCTTGAGATCCTTTCAAAGGTGCTGCAGCTTGCCAGACACTGTTTAGATGTTCAAACATGATTTGCAAGGTAAATCCAGAGATTTCAAATAGAAATCCATAGTTGTGATCTTTCTGCATTCTTTACAAAAGAAACTGCTCTCCTATTTTTCTGTAATCTAAAAAGTGAAAACCAAGAGCTGGCACTTTTTGAGGGGTGCCTCAAGTTTATCCAGACATGCCTCAAGTCAGAAAGGGTTAAGAAAACACTGACTTGCACAGTAGCTCTGAATAGGGCCTTTTGGATTAAAGTATTGGAAAGTGAAAGGACTCTTTATAACCCTGAGCTACTGTGGCCTTACTCCCTCTCCTTTGCTGTCTGCCACAGCAAATTACTGTTAGGAGAAAATTTAAGGTTCAACAAAGCTCCATCCAGCCACTTAGCCCCCAAAAGTAATCCCATCTTCTTTCTCCCTCCTCATGGTTTTTACCAATTGCAATGGAAAGTTGAATGTAGCATCATCACTTACACTTTCCTATTCCTCCTCCACCTGTAGTTCAAAAAGGAAAATGTGACTTGCAACACATCAAATAAGTTTTGTTTTACTGGTTTCTGCAGCTGCAAACCTCTAGAATGAATAAGGGTGTTATAGGCAAACATAAAATGCCATGCTAACTTAAGAGCAACATTCAAACTACTGTTTAATGAAAAGTCTAAATGTTTTGATACACTTGCCTTTTTAATTAGTAAGCAAGTAGACAGACCTCATTAGAATAGTATCTTCTGTATTTTCAGTTCCTTTCACACAGTTCCTGTCATTTGGGAAAGCCCTTCTTTAATGTTAGGATTTTAAATAGGGCTATCTGAAGTGATAAAACTGCTTGTTAACTGGAGACTTCAGTATCTTTCTTGCATAGATGACCAACTGTTCATTATTTTCTGGTAGTTTAAAGCATCTGTTTATTTAATTTCTCAATAACTTGCACACTTCCTATAAAGATTTCTGTTTATTTCCTGATTATCCTTATTCTTTTTCCTTCAAAACAAAAAAAAAATCAACAACCTTAAAGTGGAATGTATTGATTTTAGGGTACTTCAGTTAGTATACACCTTACATAAGTGAACATAAACTAGAAATAATTCTGTAATTTTTAATTTAAACAAAACATTGTGTTTGTTGTGGAAACTTCTTTAAAGACTCTGGTCTTCATTTTTATTTTTGATACTTTTTAATACTTCTTATATTTTCAAGAAAATGGAGCAAGCAATCTATTGAGGCATTTTAAATGCATATTTAAGACTACGGCTCTGAGAGTAGAGTACGTACTGACTCTTGACCAATTGGCAGGTCGATGACATCTTAGGAGAAGGCAGTGACGATAGTGACAGTGAAAAAAAGAAGCCAGAAGAGGAAGGAGAGAAATCGCAGAGTAATACAACAGAGACTCTAGGAATGAAAGCAGAACAGAGGCCTGGATCATCATCGTCATCATCAAGTGAAAGCTTAACGGGCAGTGCACCCAGGTATGAGTTCTTCAAATGTAAAAAGAAGTGTAAATGACGTCTGTGTTTCACACTTGATGATTCCATCCCAGAATTTTTTTTTCTCAGGTTGTAACAACCTTTATGTAATTGTTGAATTAAACTGTAGAATATATATATCTCTTTTTTTTTTTTTTTTTTTTTTTTTTTGGTAATAGGAAAAATCAAACAGTGTTTAAGTATGGTGCTTTGGGATGGATGGATGTAGATTATTAGAGCTGGTGATAATAAATACTTGAGGTGGACTAGTCTCTCATCTTTCTGAAAAGAATGGACTATAAAGAAGTGCCATGCTTATTCTATACTGGTTTTAGTATTAAATCTGATACCTACAGGGCATGTCTACATGTGATGCTATGTCACCGTAGCAACACACTATGGCGATGTAGCGTCAGCAGGCACAAACTGTGATGCCACAGCTATGTTGCCATAGCAACGCACTCCCTTACTATAGATACCACGTTGCTATGGCAACATAGCAGCTAAAAATAACCATGTGCCACTGGCACAGCACAGTATAGGTTGTTACTGCACCGTCACTTAGTACTTCCAAAAGGAAGTACTATATGACAGCACAGTAACAAGAGTGTCGTAAGGGCACGTGTAGACGCGCTCACACTGCATAGGGAATGTTCTGGATCTTCTTTGAAATAGGTTTCTTTTGGAGCCAGTTATTTTACTTCTGACATCTCTGATATAGTTGTGGAACCTAAATTTAAGAATGAATTTTTATATTAGGAATTCATCAAAATGGGATTTTATTCTTAAGAAAATGCTGTTAACCTTCTCCAGCCCTTCTATAATATGGCTTTCAAGCATTTGTCTAAAGCAGTGGTGCTCAACTTTTTGCCCCACAAGCTGGCTGGGCAATGCTCCATCCATCTGTGGGCTGGATCTGGCCAGTGGGCTCAGTCTGGTGCGTGAGGCAGATGTGGTAGGGTCCAGTCTGGCCACAGAGTGCGGTTGGGAGCAGCCTAGATCTAGCCACAGGGGGAAGGGAGCATGTCCCAGCCTGGACCTGTCCACACTGGGGGAGGGGGCATGATTTGGCCCCAACCCAGCCATTCAGGGCATGGGAATTTGGCAGTGTGAGAGGGGTGGCATTCTTAATTTCCACTGCTCCATTGCCACCAAATTTCCCAACCCAGGGGAGCCCTGTGGCCTGAATGCTGGGGCTCCACTTGTTAATTTGGCGCATAGCCTGGGGTTGAGCACCTCTGGCCTAAAGCAGGAATTAGCATCATGCAGCAACAGGTCAAATCTGGCCCACCAAGCTTTTTTAAGTGGCTTACCAAGCTCTAGAACCCAGCAGACTGAAAGAGGCATCTTGAAGCACAGCACACTTTTGGATCTGTAGAAGAGCCATGGTGGCTGTGGTCACAGTTTCTCCACGCATCTGGAGTCAAATGACCAAGTGCCAGGCTGGTCTGGAACATGCTGATGCGTGTGTCCCAGTGCCTGCTCTGGTAGCTGCTATGTGTTATGTGCTATAGAATGCACACGCAGCCGCCCCCAGCTCTTTCATACACCCAGAAGTACACTGTGCTTTAGGATGCTCCTGTCTCCTAGATCTTAGAGCTTCATGTGCTGGGCACTGGGTGGCAGCTGCAACAGCAGGGACTAGGATTAGACGCTCCAGTAAGTCAGTAACCAGACATGGACTGACAGAGCAATTGGGTAGTGATCAGTTCAGTGCTGTGCATGTTCAGTTGCAGCAACTGGATGCACTCTGTGGGTGTAGTTGCCAACTCAAGAAAAAATTTTAAATGAAAATCTGTAAACTTCTTACTAACAACCAAACTTTATTAGTGACACATGTTTTACTTATTCCCACACCTTGGTACCCAGGACTGAATCATGCTGCCCCCAGCCCAGCCCACCCACCAGCCTTACTTCTACTGGTCCTGCTCCCCCTGTTCTGACACAGACCACTTCCACCTAGCTGTACAGCTTTCTCGGCTGCATCACCCCCTCCCTGTCCTTCCTGGTGCCTTAGACTACCTGGGTCACATGGCCCTGCCTGCCTTCTTTGCGACCAGCTGTTACAGGCAATGGGTTGCAGAGGCAGCATGTAGCTGGATGTTAAGGGGGATACTGAGGAGGGCCCCATGGGCCACAAAGCCCTAATGGAGAGCTCCAAGCAGGGCACCAAGCTGTGTTGCTTCTCAGACGTAAGGTGGCACTGCTCTGCTTTTTGTCTATCAACACTTGCATCCAGCCTCCTTCCTGTGACAGATCTTCAAAGAAGCTCACAGAGTCTTAGTTGTTTTATGGACAGCTCAATTTTTTTAGACTTTTACAGGCAAGCGTTTTTAGCTGCTGCTTTTTTTTTTTTAACTGTCTATCCATATGGGTTGGAAACTTTTGCTGTGATTTGAAGTGCAGGGGGGCCTGCCTGCAGTCAGTATATGAGCAGGGGCTGCCTACCCCAAACATACCTTTGGTCTGCAGGGCTGAAGACAGCCTCTTTCATACAGTTCCCAGGGGGATGGAAGTTACTCTGGTGGGTGCTGCATGCATATTTCCCACTACTGAGAAGATGCAAGATGTTGGTGCAAGTTCTGTAGTCCTTGTATGTGTGCTTTGTGAAGGAACCACCTGCTGTCACATTGCTGTTGAAGAGCCCCATGATAAATTATACACTCTGGCCCTCCTTTTGACCTATTTGTGTTGATTCAGCCCCCCATTACT